AATAATAATAATAATAATAATAATAATAATAATAATAATAATAATAATAATAATAATAATAATAATAATAATAATAGAGAATTATATAATAATAATAATAATTATAATAATAGCAATAATAATCATATCCATAAAGAATTATATAATAATAATATACCTTATGATTCTGATTATATTAGACCAAATAATATATACAAAAATAGATTACATGATAATGGTGGTAATGATTATAGAAACACAAGAAGACATGATGAAATAAGATATCACGAAATAATAAGACATGATGATGGATTACAACAGAGTTACAAAAGACCGTCACTGTCACATTCAAGATCTAAAAGTGACAACAAATATTCTACATACTATTATCCTAGATCAAGATCCCCCAGCTATCAAAGATCTATAGATTACATAAGAAAACAAAGTCTTTCTCCATCATCAATATTAAAACATGGATTTGACGACTACTCAAAAAATCATAAATCATTAACAACAACGCCATCAACAAAAATGTCAACTACGTCGTTAAAAAAAAAAGATTTAGAACTTGATATTATAAAAAAATCAGCAAAAAAACTATCTGAAAATTATAATCAAATCTTGTTAGAACCTTCCATTAGAATTGAGGAACCTCCGCCGATGCTTATAGTGTTAGATCTGAATGGTACATTGGTTTATCGTGATGGTGAACACAGACTGATTCATCTACGTCCTCACATTTCGGCTTTTAAAAATTTTCTATTTCGAAACAAAAATTTTAATATTATGATTTGGTCATCAGCACAAAGAATTAATGTAAATAGAATGGCGAAGGAAATTTTTGGAAATGGATACGGTGAAATATTACTTGAAATTTGGTCTAGAGATAAATTTAACTTGACAAATGAAGAATATCATTCTAAATGTTTAACAATAAAAGATTTGGAAATGGTTTGGAATGAATTAAACACATCTATGAATAAAAATACGATACAATCATCAAATTCAGAAAGAAAACCATCACCATTTATACCGCCACCACATTCATCGCTATTACTACAATCATCATCAATATTATGGGATCAGACTAATACAGTATTAATAGATGATTCGCCACTTAAAGCCCAATTACAGCCTCATAACGCAATACATTTAAAAGAATTTAATCGAGAATTATTTTGCGATGGAAATGACAGCGAATTATTAAATATTATTGAATATTTAGAATTATTAAAATGTCAAAGCAACATCAGTCATTTTATAAAAAATCATCCTTATGATAGCAATCAAAATTATGTGAATTATTACCAGAACGAAATAAACATTGAGTCAGTAAGTGATAACACGAAGATTGTAGCTAATAACTACTACGAGGAGGAGAATGAAGGAATAATTGAATTAGATTTAGACGAAGAAGATTTATAGCTATCTATTATTTAATTAAAAAAGTTTTTTTTGGAAGATATTTTCATAATTTATATATATTAATAAAATTTTCATTTTGAATTTTGTAAAAACCTCCAAATTCTTTTTTTTTGAAATCTCATAATAAATAAATAATGGCATCTGTATATCGTTAGGATCAAGGAAAATTTTATACTTTTTCTTTAAATTTAGCAATAGACCATAAACAAAAGATTCGCGCAACAAAGACTTATGAGTTTCGACTTGGCGAACAGTTTATTTTATTTTTATTAAAGATTAAGATTAAAAAATTATTCATATGTACATATATATTTAAAATGATAATAGTAATATTAACAATAATAATCGCACTTATTATTATTATATTTTCCGTGTTTTTATATTGATTATCACGCTTATTATAATCAATATATATAAAGTTAAGTGAATTAGCCAAAGAATATTATGTTGAGATTCAGATTGAACACCTTGAACTTAAAGATCATGATTTGTTTGAAACATTTAAAAAACATCCATCTGACATTATGAAAAATATATTTTTTGGATTTAATTCCAATGAAATAAATATATTTTTAAAGCTTGAACCTGCAATTAGAACAATGCACAAATGACCTTGAATCAAGATGATATCCCTATATTTGAAGCTTTATTTAAATATTTTAAAGGTATTATTAATACGCGTCAATTGAATGTAAGTTTTTTTCATGAAACATACTGTTTGCCAAATTAAAGTTCCATTATTATATAAATATTTTATAGGCAAGTTCTATTTCTAGTATTGTAATAGCCGTTATAAATTTAACTTCCAAAGCAACACATATTCATATAATGTGCAAAACTTGTGGACGTTTGTAATTCCTAGAGTTTGTGATGGGTAAAAACAAACAAATAAAAATCTCTAAAGTCTTTAGAAAAAGTCAATTAGTTGATTCTTTTAAAATAGAACTAGAGTAACGACGAGCAGCGGGCGATAACCACCACCACCATCCTTAAAACACTTACTCGGATCTTGTCGCTTCTTCACAATTGTTGGCTTTTCTTCTTTTTTGTTTGTTTTGATTATACATTGTTATATTTTTTTTTGAGAGAAGAAGTTTGTGATACAATTGACGCGTACACACTAATTATTTATCCTATTGGTTTTTTTTTTGGTAGGACAGACGCGAATTGATTTTTTTTTTTTTTTTTTTTGGAAGAACAATTTATTTTTGACAGAGTCCAGGGTGACAAAACGTGAACGTTGTTGTTTGGTTTGGCTTGGTTTGGGTCTCCTAAAGAAGAAGTGTTAATGATAGAGGTACTATTTTTTACTTGTATTGATTGATATTTTTATTTTAGTTTATAAATATTTTAATTGGAAATCAAAACGCGGAGCAGATCTTGCTGGGTAATTACAAGATTTTCATTGATAATA